ATCAAGAATTTTTAATATACTTAAATTTGATCATGGTCTTTTTGTAAATTACATGTTGTTTTTTCGGGATACCTAACCTAAGAGTGATAATACAGAATTGTACTAAAGCAAAACAAATTAATTACTAATTCCTAATTAATGTGATTGCGAATATGTATGTGTGTGTTATTATCGATCAATCATGGAAAATGTAGCACAAACAAGCGCACCTATATCTTTATTTCTTTTTCTCTTGATTGCAACCCTTGCTTGCTAGTACATCCCCAAAAATCTACAATTTTGTTAGACAAGCTAAGTATCAAATATTTTTTTTTATTTTTTTAAGGGAGACATAATTGCATGGAAGCTAGCTATACCACATCCTAATCGATCTGTCCGCATCCTGAGTCTGCCCTACACTTACACTACCTGGTCTCTTTTATTGTAAACCATGCATCTAAAGTTGGAATAATTATAGATTGCTAACTTTTTTTTGCCCAGCCTTGTTCGTGGTCATCGTACCATTATCTATTTATAAATATGCACTCTATCTCAAAATGATTGTCTACATTATTACAATTTAATTTTAGTATCAAAATTTAGACAATCATTTTGAAAATATTTATTTCCTGTTACCACTTTTGCACTTTTGTTTATTTGTTTTAAATTAGAATTATTGTGATGATACAAAGAGAATAAATAGGTTTAAAACTTTTTCCGAATCTTTTCAAATTATTTATTTCCCCCCCCCCCTCTTGTTTTGTGTAGCTGATACGAAGAAAACATCACATTTGCTTGCACTTGATGGAGCTAAAGAGAGGCTTAAGCTGTTCAAAGCAAACCTACTCGAAGAGGGTTCCTTCGATGCTGCAATTGAAGGATGTGAAGGTGTCTTCCATACTGCCTCTCCTTTCCATGATTCCATCACTGATCCTCAGGTTTGCCAACTAACAAAAGACCCTCTCCATTTCGAAAAACTCGCCTTTTTTACATTCCCTCGGAGTCGAGCTAAAAAAACACGCAACTTAATCCTAAAAATTAATATGAATACGGATCGGACTAGTTGGAAAAATAACTTTGAACTCTGCACGTGTGAGATAAAAAATAAATAAATTATAATACTGACTCTCACTTTAATTGGAAATAAAATCTAAAATCTCATGGCTTACTATATGCAGATTATTCTATATCACGATTCTTTGAGGATTTCTGCATACAAAGAAATGAAAATAAAAATGTGTGATTTTCATATATGTTTGATATATGATTTTTTATTTCCCTTTTCTTGGGTGCATTTGTAGCTTCAACCTAAAAAAAAACAAACATTCAGCAAGTAACAATGATTAACTTGATCAGTCAAAAGCACAACAAAACAAAAAAGAATTAGAAAAGAAAAAGAAACACGAGGGAAGCATGCGCGCACGTTGAACGCGTGGTGATGCCAATAGCAAACCACACTTATGGTTTTATTATTTTCGAATTAGAAAATGCTCTTATTCTAAGTTTTCTTTTTATATATATATAAAAAAAAATCCACAACTTCAGAGACCAACCCTACATTTATAAATATGTAAGAGAAAACCTCTTCAGATCATGGTGAGAATTAGTCAAACATAGTCCAACGATTAAACTAGATACTAGATTGCATTCCAGTAAAAAAAAGTCTTCATTTTATCATATTATTTTAATCTAATAAATTAAATTCTATTTCTACAATGGGCGGAATATATTCAGTTTTTGAATTCTACAGGAGTTAGTTTATAAAGAGCCTTGTAATAGAGAAGTTAAAGTTGTACAGTTGAAAGCAGCACTAAGCTAAAAAGTCATAGAATTTACATTTGTCAAAAAAAAAAGAATGTATTACTGGAAAAAAAATTGCTCTAACTTACTACTAATGAAAAGATAGTTTAATGTGCTACTTGTGCAATTAGAGTATTAGTAATTACAACCAATAATAGTACGTAGTTTTAGACTTTCTTTTTCGCAGTTGCTCTTCAGATAATATCCCTTCCGACAAAATCCTGTGGTTGATATTATAATCTACTCCTATGTAATATTTGTTTTAAGAATATAATAATTTTCTTTTCATAATGATAAGTAAAAATTATATTTTAGATTCTAATGACAATCAAAATTGGGCATGATAAAAGTTAGACTCACTTGGAAAAGGAACATAGGGGGCAATGTGAAAGAAAAATGTAAAATTTATGAACCATGTATGTCGTTTCTTTATCTAATGGATGGTATTTCATATTTTGACCAATTTATTTAATTTGTTCAAGAACGAAAATTTTTTAATTAAAATTCTAATATTCATAGGCAGAAATGATTGATCCGGCTGTGAAAGGCACCATAAACGTTCTAACATCATGTGCAAAAACGAAGACCGTGAAAAGGGTTGTCTTAACATCTTCCATAGCTGCTGCTGCTTTCACTGACAAGCCTCTCACTCCTGAGGTTGTGGTTGACGAAACATGGTGGTCTCCTGTTGATTTCTGCACGGAAATGAAGGTGAAATAATAATGCGTTACATCATTTACGATCTCATAGAACGTTTTTATAATTATTATCAGAAATTCATTCAATCTGCTTTAGAAAAGTTATAGTTTAATTTATATTATTATGATATATAATTAAATAAACTGAAGGATTTTTCTGAGACGATCTGGTCTTTATGATAAGGCATTTTGATTTGTGTTAGGTTTGTCCTGAATTTCACCTAGGATATCTTTTTATTTGAAATAAAAAAAACTTAAAAACATATCTTAATAACGAGGAGAACACGCCGAATGTAAAAATATATATTTACGATTTTTATTTCAATTCAAAAGATATCTTAGGTAAAATCTAAGACAAAATCAAAATATCTTATAATAAGGACCGGAGGGAGTACTACCAATTTAATCTTTCTTATTGGAAATGCTATGTATATTTCAACAGCAATGGTATTGCCTATCGAAAACATTGGCTGAATCTGCTGCCTGGGATTTTGCAAAAGAAAAAGGGATAGATATGGTTGCTTTGAACCCTGGAATGGTCATTGGTCCTCTTCTTCAACCTACTCTGAACACCAGTGCATCTTGGATTGTCAATTTGATAAGCGGTAATAACGAATCATCTACGATAATTTTCTTTTTATGATTTTTTTTTCTGTCTCATTTTTTTTTTCATTTCTTGTACTAAAAAATAATACAACAAACATGAAAACTATTTTAGGATAAAAAGAATACTCAGACAATTTATTTCTCATATAAAATTTAAACCCTCATTTACAATGCAATAAGCTAACAAGAAAATTCGTCGGTCCAAGCAAAAGAATCTACTCGGTTTACTAATATTGATTCAACGCAATAGAGTATTTTTCTAAGATGTAATTAAATAAAAGTAAGTTTAAAAGATATTAATCCTTTCTTTTTCTTTTTTTCCACCACAAAAAATTATAATTTTAGTAATTATATTATTTTTTAGGTTATGTACTCATCTCTGGAGTACAATTAATGCATGAAAAATCCCTTCAAGTACTACCATTTGGAATTCAATCATAATTTCTCCTAATTTGGCCTGATCGAATTTTATACTATATTTTTTCACATTATTTTCCCTTTTCAAATCTTTACATTTTGTTTTACAGGGGCAGAAACATACCTAAATGCCACATTTGGATGGGTAGACGTTAGAGATCTTGCCAACGCACACCTTCTAGCTTATGAAACTCCTTCTGCCAATGGAAGATGTCTTATGGTTGGAGTTGTTGTTCACATTTCTGATATTGTCAACATTATCCACCAACTTTACCCTAACCTCAAACTCCCTCAAACGTAAGTTTTTTTTTTTTTTTTTCATCTCGCTCAGTAGAATTTTTTTAAAATACTATTTACTTAGACAAATATGTACTCGTATTGCTAAATTTTTATAGTGCATAACGTGACATTCGATTTTTAAAAAAAAAAAATTCATACACATTGGGCAGGTGTGCGGATGACAAACCGTTCCCGCCAAAATACCAAGTTTCGCAAGAGAAAGCAAAATCTATTGGCATTGAGTTCACACCATTTGAACAGAGCATCAAAGATACGATTGAGAGCTTAAAAGAGAAAGACCTCTTAGACACCTCTCTCACATTTTGAATGCTATTATTGCAAAAGCAATAAAAACAAGAAGGGGGGTGGGGGGGGGGGTGTGGTGGTGGTTGGCGCGGTGTGAAGAAACAATAAATCCTAGGCCTTCTGTATGGCTTCTCTTTTCATTTCTTTTAAGTCTTTTTTTTTTTTTTTGGCGTTGTGGTAATATATAAAATTAATGTTATAAAAATTTGTGGTCTATAAACTGATGAATTTACTTCGTTGTTCTCATCTAAATTGTTGATGGTGTGTTGTTTTTGTTGCGGGTTCTAGAAAATCTACAAGCATAAGGAATTGAGTTGGGAATCCGCGTAGCCCTCGATTTATGTGTTACTTTATTCACTTGAAATAATTTAACTAGATAGATTATTTTCCAAGATACTCTCTCCGTTCCAAATTCAAATTAAGTGTCGTTTTAGCAAAATAAAAAAATTTCAAAATAAGTGTCGTTCTCACATTTCAATGCACTTTTTGTCCAAAGTTTTCAAAATTACCCTTGAAAGAGTTAATATTATTGGCGAATATTTTTTTTAATGGGGTTGGTTGAGGATATTCAAGTAATTTTATTACCCTATTTAGGAGTTTCTTAAATTATGTGCAAAGTGTAGAATAACACTTATTTTGGAATGGAGGGAGTAGTATCTAGATTAGTACCTAGCTTATTCATCTCCAATACCATAATCATTCTCACAGTTACCAAAAAAATTAAAAGAACAAGAAAAATTGGTAGAAAAAATGGACAGCAGTATAACTAACAATGAATTTCATTTTGTTACATATTCAATCTTGAAAATTCTCAAATGAAAATAATGGCCAAATGGTAAGGCAAGTCAAGAGTTTTAGGATATCAAATGGACTAAAATCTGATATACCACTTGGCAAAAATGTGCATTGTCTCCTCTAGTCGTCAAATGGAGGCAGACCCCAATCACTTGGGTTAAAGTCAAGTAAGGAGCTTAAGACCATATCAGCGTTTTTACGGTATGAACCGTCCAACCTTGGATCTGGTACCATGACCACCGACCTGCAATAGCAAGTGTCAAAACATGACCGAAAAACTATATTATATCTAACAATTTGCTTAGAAACTTTATGAACACAGAGAGGGGCGACGGGAAATCGAAGTATCCCACAGTATTTTGACATTATACTAGCTATTGCTAACAATTGTAATTACCTCGTCTTAAAATACATGAGTTACAGCAAATATGTTGTCTGCTTAAAAAGGAATCCTATTTCAAAACTTTGTACGTTAGACAAATTACTTTCAAGAACCTAACAAATCATGTATGATTCGCAATTATGATACAAGGATATAAATAAAACATTGGAATCTAATCAAGATACTTCTTGGTTTAAATGAAGTACCATTTACATGGAGGTAGTCCAAATACTGTGGATAAAAAGATTCTGAGCACTAAGTTATTTTTGGGTCACATTTATCTTTTTCTAAAATGAGGACTCCAACATTAATATTGTTTGACCTTTGGGAAACTTAGACACTTGTCCAACGAGAATGAAATAAACAAACCAATACAGACTCATGTATGCATTCGTAACCAAAATATACAAGCTCAGGGTGCTCATCTATAACCCTAATATTACACACATTTACCAAAGCAACTTTCTCAGTAAATTCTGAATCAGAAAATCATGACTTTAACTTTCAAATTAAGAATAAGAGAAAAGACTCACACTGTTTACAGAGTGAAACTATTTTGACACAAAATTTACCTCAAGGCTTGAGACTAAAGAGATCCCTTAAATAATAAACACACAGAAAAGTGGAAATGAGATCAAACTCACATGCCTCCATGAAATAATGAAACACTCAAAGAGATCCCTAGAACACGATCCTTCACAGAATGAAATGCCAACATGACACGTAATAGTCACAAGGGTGCTCCTTGACTCAAAGTTTGAAGTGCATTTAAATAGGGGTTAGTTACATTACTGTAAAAGTTACACAATAGGCACTGAATTAACGCAATAATCCCCCCTACTCTGCTCAAAATCAAACAGTATATGGACTTTTTAGTCATTGATAAAAAATAATAGACCTCCCCTGCTTGAAGTTGAATATCACACAAAATCAGACAACACCTTAGAAATAAATCTATTACAGGCTTTGTAATTTAATCCTCTAAGAAACAAACTCCAATACCAATCAATGTTAATCCCTCATTGGTACACGCCCTTAAATTTTCAGAACTGTGTTAAGAAAGTCCGTCAACCAAAGATCCATATATTAATCAATAATAGCATTATATACAGCTTAAGAAAGAATCGGACCCGGTGAAATAAATCTATTCGCAAAGTAATTTTGATCCACCAACTATATGGATCTTTTCCAGATTAACCTGCTTGGTTAAGTTCACTAAACCGGGTCCGATTTAAATTTGCAAATCTCAGTTCTTTAACGTCATTCAAAATACAGGCTTTACACACTCCCCTTTGTAGGTGGCAATTTTTCTTATCTAATATAAAGACAAATGTCTCCCCCTTCCCGAGCAACTAGTGGTGGTTCTTGTGTTTAAAAACAAACAAAAAAAAAGGAGCCCATATCCCCTTTTATGTAATTGCTATCATCAATCAATATCTGTCTACACAACATAGAACTATAAAAAGAAATAAAAGATAGAACAAAAAGTATCATTGATATAACTAAGTTAGACTTACATTCCAGCATTTTTAGCAGCAAGGACACCTGAAGGAGCATCCTCAAAGACAAGAACATTACGTGGATCAACTGGTCCACCCTATATAGATGCAAATTTTCACAGAGAGTTATACATACTTGGTAAAGAAATGAGGAAGAAAGCATGAATTAGCTCTAACGCATCATTTGAACGCCAGTTGGAATCACAAACTTTTGGTACCGAAAAACCTACAAGCGAATGATAGATAGGAAGTAAAGATTCAATATGCAGCACCTCAAATCGTCTAGCAGCTGCAAGGAATATATCAGGCGACGGCTTCCCTTGTTTCACTTCTGGGTCATCACCCTTAACTATATGATGCATCAATGAAAACAGTTCACCATGCCTTTGTGTTTTCAACGCAAAATGCCTCTGGTGAGAACTGCAACCACATTCAATTAGACCGCTGAAACACTAAACTTTACACTTCAAATTGGTAAATTAAGAATCAGTACACAACCAATAAGTCAACAGAGAGAAGACTATACCCGGTGGCAACACAAATTGGAACTCCCTTTTCATGGAGGTGCTTAATCAAACGGCTTGCTCCTAAGATCCAAAAATAGAAAACGCAAAAGAATATTTAAATGATGTCAATCTGATATTCTCTGAGAAGCAAATTAAATGAATTCCAGTCCATTAACTCAGACAACGGCCAGCAAAATTTGAGAACTAATAGATGAACATCAAAGTGCACACGTATTGTACAGACATAAGAGATGTAAGTTTGGCCAATATAAATCTATACATGATCACATTAATCAGTAACTACCTCCATGATTGCAGTTTGTAATTATGCTACTTCAGTAGTTACGTTACGTTTGACTAAACAACAAATTTATGATTGCATGTCTCCATTTCCGGTACTTTTCATTACTTTCAACACCATTATACAATTAACCTAAAATATTTTGTACACCCAAACTGTAGTGTCATTTCTGAGTTAAATTGTTTGTCATGACCATTCAACTTGTATATGCAGTAACTGTGCGTCAGTGGGTTCATACTCAGTAAAGCTATAGAGGTCCCAAATTTGCGTACCACTATCACTCCCAAAACCAAACAACCTTCCAATCACTGTCAGTTGCCGCCAAATTCACATTTTCTCAGCTCAAATACCTGATAATAAGGTAATTATTCAAATGCTTCTAGATCTGAAGACTCGTTGAGTCAATCGCTAGTTGTGAGAAGTCCAGTTGTGGGTAATGATAGTAACAGTGATGTCAAGGGACAAACGCCAAGTAAATAGATGGGTGGATGGTAGTGAGCGTGAACATGGTAAAATTATTGATGAAGGATGGAAGTCATTCTATCTTGAGAAGCTGAAAAGTACTGCCATTAACCTGAAATATGTTGAACTTGAAGCTATTGACAAATTATAATTGGGAAGGGTAGGGAGAGAAGGGGTGTGGTGTGAAGCTGAATATTGGAATCACTCTGTTACTTGCTTTATTTCGGGATGAAAGTGCCGTACATGTAGGGATTCACTTACTGAGTTTGGGAAAAGTGGGGATTGCACAGATACTGAAGAATGATGCTGCATTTTATATGGTTCATATCAAGACAGAACATGCGAAAGAGTTTGCATTCAATAGTGTAATTCACTATGATCGCAAGCCTTTAATTGTTAAGGAGCTGGATGCAACTAAAGACTTCCAGCTGAATGAAATCCTCAGTGTCCTGATCTGGGTTCAGCTTCCAGGATTAGCATTAAGATATTGGAGTGCTGGTACATCAAGTAGAATCATGAGCTCCATCGGGAAACCCATTTCTATGGATGATATGACGACAAACAAGTTGGGAATACAGTTTGCTGAACACCACCGGAAGTAGCCACATATGTGAATGAAGGTGTTACTCACTGAGCAAAACTTGTGTATGAATGGAGGCCTGTGAGGTGCTTAGTGTGCAACGGATATGGAAATAATAGTAGTGAATTGTATCCTAAGAATTATTAGCATTATTTTTACCAATATTTATCGGAGAATTAAAAAATCATTTCATGTATAAAGTTTGTAGAGGAGAATTTTGGTTGACACTAACATGCGAGATCATCTATGCTAGACCAAACTAGGGCTGTCAACGAACCGAGCACTTCGCGAGCAGCTTGTGAATAGCTCGGTCAAAGCTTGGCTTGAATTCGGTTTTGACCGAACTCGAGCCGAATTCGAACAGTTCGATTAGATAAACGAGTCGAACACGAGTATCAAAATGCTTGATTCGTGAGCTCGTCGAGCCTATTCGAGCCTATTATAAATTCTTTTATTTTTATTATGATTAATATTTAATTCATGAAAACTTTCTTTTTATTCCTTAAAAATTATTGTCCTTTATATTTTGAAGATGTAATAATGAGATAGACATATTTTTTATGATTTGTCAAAGAATTTTGCTAATAGAACACATAGATTGAACGTGTTGAATTGAAAATGACAAATATTTAAATTTATTCAAGCTTAATATTATCGAGCATTCGAGCTCAATTTTTATCGGACACAAAAACTCGAGCCAATCGAGCCGAGCGCGAACTATTCGTTTTTATTTCGAGCCAAACTCAAACTTCATTTTAGATGTTCGATCGAGTTCGAACTCGAATACGAGCTCCAAATTTTTTGTCGAACTCGAGCTCGAGCACCTAACTGTTTGGGCTTGACTCGGTTCGTTGACAGCCCTAGACCAAACAAGCAAGGAGAAGTCGCAGGTTATGGGAAAATATTATAAATGGCAATACGGCATATTAACATGCTTGATCATCTATGCTAGACCAAACAAGCAAGGAGAAGTTAGCAGGTTCTGGGAAAATATTATAAATGGCAAGACGGCATTGTAAATCGGAAGAACTGTACCTGGCATGAGTTCACTGCTGGGGAACATGCTCCGCAACATATCCTCTCTTTCCACAAGGAACTCTTCAGCAGTTAACTTATCACTAATACCAGTCTCTTCAACAAAGACTCGAGCAGCTTCAATAGCTTTCATACCCATCATTTTTGCCTTCAAAGGCCAATCAAAAGTCTTATTATATCTGGCCAGTATAACCTCTTGGACTTTGGTATAGAATCCTTCAGTGTCTATAGCAAATAAGCAAATCAGACTCTGTGAAATCAACACCTAATAGTCTCTTTATAAAATGCAAAAGAATGCAAGCACACGACATGGAAATTAAAGGGCCGGAAACAATTTATCATAAACAGCAAGTTTCTCTATACCTCTAACCATGTTAAACTGTAACATTGAGTTTAAATGAAACCCATCAATAATAGAGATTAGTTACTATATTATCTCCTTCAATCATCTCATTCTACTGCTAGAATTAAGTGTCTAACATGAAATCTGTCGAGGTTGTTGAGGGGTAATTTCTAACATGAAAACATTGAAAATGTAAAAAAACATTCAAGTTCATATTAGAAATTACTCCTCAACAACCTCGACAGATTTCACAACAATTCTTTTTTTTGCATATCAATTGCAAAACAAGTACTGAAAAGGTAAAAAATAAACATTCAAGACCATATTAGAAATTACTCGTCAACAACCCCGACAGATTCACAATACTTGAAAGTACTATAATCTAACAATACATGGAACACGAATAATTACCGAGTAAAAGGCCATCCATGTCGAAGATTACATGAGTAATCGAGACTTCTCGTTGAGAACCTTGGGATTCCTGGTCAATAAAAATTGACGGATCAAATTGTAATTTGATAGAGAATTGCACAAAAAGTGTTCGTATCTCAAGCTAAGAGTCAGACATAAACACCTCAAATCAATACAGCCAACCCATCAAAATTTGGAAACAATCACAAAAATCTGAGGAGTCTTTAATACTTTGAATTTCACAAAATATCCACTTTAAGATTCAGGTATATTACAACCAAAGCAGTAAAAAAGCCCTATAAGGTGTTCAGATAAATAGAAAGAATCCTAGGACTGGGTGCAATCATAGACATTAACTCATCCAGAAACAACAATCAAACAAAACCGGAACTCAAGTATCAAGGCAGCCTGACAAGTGAAGCTAAGGGAACAGCACTACATTATGTGCAGCAGGTTAAGAAAGATTGAAGATTACGCCAGCCCAGGGCAGTACGCAAATATTGGATATCTCACACCAACCAGGGACAGCATAAAAATGCATGCACAAACAAAAGTTTTAAAAGTCTGACAAAAGACGCTTGGAACTTTGGCCAAGGATTCAATGATCAAATTTAATGCGATAAGATTGTGGCCAGAAAACGACAAAGTGAAGACTTCTCCACTCTATATCTAGAGGGCATTGTATGATACACTCATCGATTGATACCTGTATGTAGAAAGGTAATTTTGATATATTCCATAAGCAAATTGCTAACGATATGATGAAATCACTAGGACAATTTCGACAGAGACATTGCATCATGGTATGACATATATTGGATCACCACTTATTCTTGTCGCCTTGTTCAAGTTGCAACATGCAATAACGAATGGTGTAGAAATGAATTTACGGAGTGAAAGATATTTTCGATTATGGATTCCACGTCATGCTAAAATTTGGACATAGAAACCGCAAATCAAGATAGCCAACCCATAACAATTTTGGAAAAAGACAACAAAATCTCCATGAAGAGTTTCTAACAATTCTAATTCCACCAAATGACGACCTTAAGATTTAGGAATATTACCAAGCAAAACCATTTATGATACGCCCTACAAGGCACGCAAATAATGAAGCTAAGTAAAGCCATTAACTAATTTCGAAACAAAAATAATAGAAAACTAGAGCTCACAAATCAAGGCTGCAAGAAAGTATGAAGCTAAGTAAATAGCAGCACATCCTATGCAACAGGTAAAGAAGGATCCAAAGTAGGCTAACCCAAGGCAGCAGGAAGAGCTTCTGGAACACCCATAAAAATACTGAATATCTGACTCCAATCAGAAGCAGCACAAAAATGCGCCCAGAAAGAAAAGTAAGAGTTTCAAACTTCTGAAGAAAAAGACTGACAGCTAAAAGTGAAAGAGATCACCGATTAAGACACCAAATAACCAAAAACACAGCAAACAGCAGGGGAAGAGGGAACCAGAATCATAAAAACAAGAAATTTTACAAACCCTAGTTATGCCCATAACAAAATGCCAACGTAAATTAGGTCTGATTCCCCTTGAGAAGCTACAAATTTACTGCAAATTGGGGTCACCGAAGAACCATACGCGGCAAATTCAGATAAAGAACCCCAATAACCTCATCAAAGTTCACAAATTGAAGCAAACGAATGCACCGATCAAATTCTCTAACTCCCACCTCAGAGCAACACAATTAGACCCCAAAAATCTAGCAAGGAAATTTCTTTAAAAAAAAAAAAAAGAAAGCCATAAATTAATTCAGTAGGCACTAATCAGAAATTGCAAAAATAAACCCCATGCCAGAGGGAACAGAGAGTTCCAAACTCACAACATTGTTCACCTCCTCGGAGCTCGCCATTTTGCAATAGCTGCCAATTCCCAGAAGCTCTTTAGTTTTATGTGAACTGCAGCGGCAGATGGCGTCAGAGTCGGTGAGTATGTAATAAACAAAATAACCCCTTTAAATAAAATAATAATTACACCATAAATTATTTTGGAGAGACTTCAGTGTCTTTGCAGCTAATTGGTACTAATAACAATCGATATTTTAACACCAAAAAGAAAATAACCGTTGATACTAAAAAATTAATGATTCTCCAATCTAATTTTGCATACAATTGGCATTCATGTATTTCTTTTTACTCGTTAATGCAATTGTGTGACATATGTCATGAGTTTTGTTTTGTAACAAATTTTTTGATATTTTGATCCATGTGATGATCGGTAGGACTAAAATTTAAAAAGAATATTTTATATACGGAATGCATATTTTGGTCCTTTACATTAATATTTGGCTGAATTAATCTTCACTATTTTTTATTTGTAACTTTTTTGGTCTTTTGACACTATTCAAACAGTTTGAACATATTTGGGTTCAAATCAATGAGGTATTTTGGAATAAAATATTTATTTTTGAAAGCTTAATATTGAATAAAATATTAATATAAATAGAAAAAATTTTCTGTTTATAAAAATAATTAAGAATTAAAGTAAACATTCATTTTATAAAAAACTTCAAAAAAATTAAAATTTCAAACTAAAATGAAAAACAATAAAAAAATAGTACCTTCTTTGCACAATTTTATATTGCTTTGTGCTTAGGATAACGTAAAAAATATAACTTTTATGACAATCTCCAATATAAAAATAATTAAATTAAAATTGAAGATTATATTCTAATCTAATTTTCATTTTAGATATTTTTAATTTATGAAATTGTACGAAATATATTTACATAGTAGATTTTTAAAAAAATCAATAGGAAATATATTTACATAGGTTGAATCATCCAGAAGCCTACAATGCGATGAGGACATATTTAAAAAAAAACACACACACACACACACAAACAAACAAAGAAAATAAAAAAAGAATCCAAATTCGATTACAAGTGCTAGTGCTAAATATGAATATGAATATTTAATTCTTTTTTTGGCTTGATAAATTCTATAAGTTAGAATCCTTCCAAGATGGCGGAGGAGGATGAATATGATGGATTCGGAGGCTGCACATTTGCGTCATTCACTCCATCATCCTTCAATTTCAATCCGCCAAACACAATAGAACAATAAAGACCTGAAATCCCCATTCAACACCTCCACAACAACCTCCGGCTCCGGGAAAGATGAGTGCGGTGGTGGTGATGGTGATGATGGTTAGGAGACAGGTTTTGCATAAAATCAGCCATCGAGTATAAACAAATAATAGGGTGGAATACGACTTGAGACGGGAAACATTTTGTTGGATCAATCGTTAGAACTACTAATACTCTCTCGAGTCCTTAATACAAGACCTTTTGATTTGTTTTAAATTTTACTTAATACGTATTTTTAATTAACAAAAAAACTTCAAATTTTGTTGTCAATGAAAAATATATATTAAGTGAAATCTTAGACAAATAAAAATGTCTTATATTAAAGACCGAAGGGAGTACAACATGCAAAAACCATCCTGAAGGGTTTGAGCTATCTTCGGGACAAGAATATTTTGCCTTCAAACGACCTTGTAAATTGGTAAAATCTCGCGATGATATGCTGCACGGGGGTAATTTATTGGATGCTGTTAAATCAAGTTCAGAACGTGCATTGGCAGCATATATAGTATATTTACAAAAAAAAAAATGGTGAAAAATGAGATGTGAAAGAAAGCCTCAGATTCGCTATTTCAATACTTCATTCTTTTGGCGTGAGTCTGTAGCATAGGAATTTTTTTTATATATGTATTAGGTCCGTATGTAAATAGGAAATTTTTTTTATTAGGTCCGAAATGGTAACATATACTAACATTATTGGAGAACTCTAAAAATAGAATTGAAAATACTGTGAATGAGAAGAACACGAAGTTTTTGAGATGCATTTGCTGCTTGATCCGTCTTGTCACACGTTATAAATTAGTTACACTTTCAAGAAACCAAAAAAAAAAAAAAAAAATTGGATATGTTAATATGAGTCTGTTGGGTGACTTCGACATCAGTAAACCAACTCCTGAGGTAGAAAAAAAAAATGTTATTACCTACGAAATATTTTATTGTTCAATAAAAATAATTCTTTTCAAACAAACTCTACGATTAAAATTTTCTTACTGTGTCAACTCCAAAAAATACAAAAGTTCTGTAATTATGAAATATATATGAGTTAGTAAAGAACTGGAAAACGGGAAAAAAAAAAAAGAAAAAGAAAAACGAGTTGCCAACTTTCGATACACTTTGAATTCGAATAAAATTCAAATCGTGATAACTGATAGAGATAGAGTGAAGTGAATTTCTTTTTGGTTTCATACCTGATAAACATATCATCAGGTGACATATATATCTCATTTTTTCTTCACGTTGAAAAAAAAAAAAAACAAACAAACCGAAAAAAAAAACCTAATTGGTTTCGGAGTTGAACTACATAGTCTTCTCCAACTTGGAAGAGTTTGCTTCAACGACAACAATAATGGAGGCCGAAAACCAGACTCCTTTGCCTACTTTCGAGGATTCTGGTAGTAGTTCATTCAATCCTATTTCTACCACCCTTTCCCCTAATCATCTCACTGCTCGTGATGATGATGTCAGTTCTGATCAAGAAGGAGTAGAAGCTCCAATTTCTGCTTCTCTTCCACCAACTCCTAGCCCTAACAACAACAATGGAAGCCCTTGTAATGAAGAAGAGGATGCCCTTGTTGCTAGCGAGGATTTCATGGAAGACGAGGATATCAGTCCTAGTGAAAAAGAGTTCTTCGACTCGTTGCCTCCAGGATACCGGTTTCATCCCACTGATTCTGATTTGATCGTTCATTACTTGCAGAAGAAAATCAACAAGGAAAGATTGCCTCGTCATCAAATTCGTCACATCAATCTCTATCGTAACAGCCCTGAAGTGATTTCGGGTCCGTTTTTTTTTTCTTTTTCTGTTTTCAATGTTGGTATCTTTTGTGCATTTAAAACGATATCTCTTTTGCCTATATTTGCGTTGTGCATGTTATAGAAAATTTTATTTGCCACAAACACAAATTTCAGTGGATGTGATGTTTGTGTTTATTTTTAATGATACTTACAGATCCGTGTATACTTAGATTATGTGACAACGATGAAGGATTGAATGACGTGTATCCGCCCCTCCCCGGAATTTTTTATGTTAACCAAATTTGTGTATGGTTTTTCTTCTGATACATTATATCCTTGTATAGATTTAAAGAATGAAAACTTCCGAAAGTCGATTTAAATTAATCAGAAAAGCTTGAAAAGGGATAGTTTTAGTTTGAGAATAATAAACACTACACATTTTTTTAAATTTTGCTACTACATGAATTACGACTGATTGAGAATACATATTTTTAGTTATGCTGCTGCATAATTATGCCTATTGAGAATATTGGTGTTTCATCACTAGGTATACATTACACATTTTTTAAATTTTGCTACTACATAGAATTATGACTGATTGAGAATATTGGTGCTTCACTGTTAGCTATATATGTATACACATATTTTTACTTATGTATACACATATTTTTAGTTATGCTACTGCCTGAATTATGACTTTTGAGAATATTGGTGTTCATCATAGGTAAAACACTACACATCTTTTTAATTTTGCTACTACATGAAATTACTGGTTGAGAATATTGTTAGCTATTTACACGTCTTTTTAGTTATGCTACTGCATAAATTATGGCTTTTGAGAATATTGGTGTTTCATCCATATTGGTGCTTCATTGTTAGATATGTATACACGTATATGCTACTGCACAATTTATGGCTTTTGAGAATATTGGTGTTTCATCTGATTGAGAATATTGGTGCTTCATTGTTTGGTGTTTCATCTGATTGAGAATTCATTGTTAGCTATGTATATGCATATTTTTGCTTTAGTTTTGTTATAGCTGGTTATTGAGAATATTGGTGTTTTATTGTTAGCTATGTATCCACCGGCCGGTGATAAGGAATGGTTCTTTTTTACCCCGAGGAAGCGAAAGTACCCAAATGGTCATCGTCCCAACCGCGCTGCCGGCCCTGGTTACTGGAAAGCCACTGGAGCAGATAAGCCAGTGACTTATAGAGGGACACAAGTTGGTTTTAGGAAGGCATTGGTTTACTATGCAGGCAAACCTCCAAAGGGTACAAAAACCAATTGGATCATGCATGAATTTAGGGTTAGTGGTGACAAAAAACCTATCAACGGATCTTTGAAGGTATGCACAATTAATTACATACATTGTGTATTTTTCATTTTATAATGCGTTTTTTTGTTCATTTGTTTGTTATTTCATTTTTTAATGAGTATTTTTTCATTTAGTTTTTTCTTCATTAGTTCTAATTATGAAATTGTTTACTTGTCTTTTGTAGTTGGATGATTTTGTTCTCTGCAGGATTTACAAGAAAGTTGATAAATCCCCACAAAAGCAAGGCAGCGAAGAGGATGATGTTCAAGTGGATCAAAATGTCAATGGAAATGGTAACGGGAATGGAGACTTTATACGAACTCCTGAAGAAGGAGGGACTCAATTGTTTGATCAACTAAACAATGGTAATGATTATCATTTTTCATTTGAAGATGTGAAGCACATAGAGGCATCAATTGGATTTCCACAATCCAATTTCAACAACAATGGCTTTCGCGATAATAATATGTATCGCGACATCTCACTAATGAATGTGCCTCAATCTCAATCTTTGTATGGTAATAGCCAGTTACCACCTACTTATGCAGCCAGGCCACTGTCGTACATATCATCTATGTTTCCAGTGGATAATATGTCACTGTCCAGGTATTTGAGTGAAACTTCCATGGAGGTCAAACCACGATTGATGCATGACAACCAATGGAATATTTGTTCAGAGCTATCTTCAGAGCTATCAACAGTTCAAAATCTGGCTGAATTAGATCCTCTCATAAATAATTATCAACACCAACTGTTTGAAACGTCAATGGCTGCTCCAAACAATGTTGGCAACAATGCTTATATTTCTGAGATTCAAAAGGAAGAAAAATGATGTTTATTATGCATGGGAGATAAAAAAAACTTTATGTTGACTTTATCTTATCGAATAGGGGGCGGGGAATTGGTTTTGCATTCTAGGAATAAGGTAGATCTATAGATTGCATTCTACATAATTAGGGTAGGTTTCTTTCTAGGGTAGGTTTCTACCATCGAAGTAAGGATTGATTGGATTCGAAGTAGGATTGATTGGATTTATGGAACTCTAGTATTTCATTTCAAGCGAAGTAATTTGAATTTGTTTTGCTGTTACTTTGAAGTATCATTTCTAAGTTATGTATGGAAAACTAAACTGCTTCAATGTAGAAAAGTATCGATTTAGTTCAAACATTTGCTCAGTTGATTTAGTCCAAACATGTGTTGTAGGTATAGATTTCATCCAAAGGTATAACTTTTGTTGTCAATTTAGTCCTTTAGATAAAAAAACCCCTCAAACTAGTTGAAGTTAGCCCGAAAGTATAAAAGTTTTCGAAAATTGCCCCCGATGATATAAAATTTTCTTTTGCTCAATATTTTTTCTTCTTATTTGGTATTTAATAAAATGATATTTCTCGATTTACTTAGTTATTTTCATCTAAATATTCTCTTGTAATAGATACATAAGAAACTATATTACAAATTCTTTTTTTAGACACTATTTTTCTATATGTTATAAATATATACAAAACTACGTTACAACTTTAATTTTTTTAATAATTATTTTTTTCTTTTATAGGAATTAAAAATTTATATTTTCTAATTTTTCTCGATCTGTTTTCATATCTTTTCTTAATATTCCATATTACTATCTATAAATTTTTTGCTTATTCCCAACACTGAACCATAACAAATTAATACATGTGTTTCAATCATTTTCATTGCCACAATAAATTAACAAATTAATATAACTCACTACATGTGTTTCAATCATTTTCATTGCCACAATAAATTAACAAATTAATATAACTCACTTTATAATGAAATTTGATAGTTTAGTATTTATCACAAAGTAAAAGTTGAGTTTGCACATGGAAAAAAATATTAAACATATTTTTTTGTTAAGAGGATATTTAGATGACAATACATAAGTAAATTGAGAAATATCATTTTGGTGTATAAAAAAAAAAACAATGGACAAAAAAATAAAGGAAAATACTTTTTGTAATTTTTTGTACCACACGTCGCATTTTTTAAAAAATTCTAAAGTATTGGACCTAATTTCATTTAGTTTGAGGGGTTTTTCCGTCCAAAGGACTAACGACAAAAGTCATACATTTGGATGAAATCGACAACTAGAACAAACGTTTGGATTATATCGACAAAAAAAAGCAAACGTTTGGACTAAAATCGATGTTTTTCCCAATTTAATGAACTACAAACATCCAATCCACCTCACCGGAATATGTTTCTAATCAAATGATCATTCATTTTCCGTCCCCTCTCCTTAGTGTTTCTTGCCAATCTATAAGGTCTGTAATAGTTTTGGCGATACACAATTATAAGCTTTTCTCAGTGGCTTGATGCTCATTGCTGGTATGTGAAAGATCAATAACTTTACTTTTGTGCTTTACCAAGGGCGATGAACCAGTTTTGCTGTTCTGCTTTATCAAGGGAGATAAGTTTCCAATGTCCCGAAGAGGTAAATTTGCAAGTCCACTCTTAAATGTACGAGATGTTCTTCTTCGGTCAGTGGAAATCTCATGTCTATTCCCTTTGTCATATTCCCTGTACTTCTCTTTCAAGCGGCGCAGCATGATCTTCTCCTTTTCAAGCTGTTTCCCTAGGGACATTGGTACAGGAGGATATGCACTTGGCATAATTTGATGATGGTTTTCATCTCCTTTCCCCTTATCTTTAATGCTCTCTTTGGTACACTCGATATCTCTTGTGTAATGGTTTTCCTTCTTTGTGTTGATTGTCACCTGGCCTTGTTCGATGCCTTCTGCTGTTAGTTTTGCAACCTCCCCTTTCATTTTTGACAAATTCTTTTCCAGCTCATTTGCTTTGGTTTCTGATGCAAGAGCTTTTTCCTTCCATTCCTCAACCTAAAATGTTTACAAGAGGTAATAATATAAATGCTACATTAGGTTGTGCTTCTGATCATCACATAAGAAACTACTTTCAAGTTTATCTGACCACCTCAAGTGCAGTTTTGAAACACCTGAATCAACTAGCCTTGCATATTTCATGATTTTCAAAAAGAAAAAAAAAAAAACTTTTAATGAAAGGTAAAGTTCTGGAAGATGAGGAAGATTCCTTACAGCAGATTGTAGACGTTGAACTTCATTTTCTGAATTGAGTGCTCGGTCTTCCCAGAATTTGCGAGAAACCTGAAGCTCATCTATCTCAGCCCTCACCTGCCTTAGCATTTCTTGCATTTGGGACCATTGTTCAGTTTCAGCTCTCACTTGCTCTACAATCTTGCGCACAATGGCCTTGCAACGTCCTGTGCATCTGACATCTTCTCGTGATATTGACTCCTGTAGCACGAACCACTTTTATTAGAAAACAGTGTTTTCGTTGCAGAGGATGCGAAATTGTTGATTTATGCAGAATATGACATGTTATTTCTTTAGCAACTAGGTCAAATTTCATGACGAAGCGATCCCTATTCTACTTACCTAATCTCTAATCTTTTTAGTCATCAGATTTCGGTGGAGATTTTTTTTTACAGATGATATCGACAACACAGAATTCCCTTTATGATTAGGCAAAACTGCAAGGCAAAACTGCAATATTAGTTTACTAAAAAAATTGAAGGAGCACGATTGATCCCTAAAGGCAGCCTAACTACACTTGACCATGACAAGCTTTTGTCAATTAGCGTTGGAAATTAATAAGAGTAGACAAGTATACTGATGCACAGACTCCTCAGTCAACCTATTAAAGGCTAGAAAATAAGAACTTGAAACTTCACAAGCTAGAAACATAGCCATCGGTTTGTTCTTACTAATGTAAAGTGCCGAAAGAGGAATTCTTAGCAAGCCCACCACAAGAAAACACACAATAAGATTCCAGGAAAAGAAGTACTAAACTTAGAAAGAATGCAGGTAACTGAAACAAGGGAGATCATTTATAATTTAAGAGGATTCCAAGATGGCATATGCCCAATGTGCTCACCTTAGAACTGAGAACTTCGGTTGGCGAATATACATGTAAAACACAGAATAAAGCCTTCTCAAACCATTCAAAATGTTCATTACATAATGAAATTACAAAACTCTTACCTGAAACAGTTGTCCTCTGGGAAAAGCCGACTCTTGATATTCAATGCGCTTTGTTGAAGCAGAACTGGCAACAGAACTGTTGGCGGTGGTGGAAAGAATTGAATCAATATCTTCCTCAATTCTCTGTAGCATGTTCTTTGACAGTCCCTCCACTTTTTTTCTCAGGGACTCCACCTGAATATTATTTCATTCACGTTTATTATAAAGCAAAACAACATCAAGCCAGAAACTATAGATCCAATCTCCAGTGGAAATTGTAATGTTTAAAAACAACAATAGAACAAATTCAAACAAATAAGAGAAGAAATGCATTTTATAAGTAATGACATTGGTTTGGTCTAAGAAACACATGTATGGACTGAATAAGGCTTCTGAAAATCACGCATTTAAGGTAAGCAACTGAATAAGGCTTCTGAAAGGAAACAACTTTCCTTTTGGCAGAAACTTGTAAATTCAAAGCAAAAACTATGATCTTATTGTTACCTCAACTGATTCATGTTTGCTCATCGAACCCGAATCACAATTCAGGTTGCCACTATCATGGCTCATATTCATGGACAATCTGGAATCAGCTAAATCCTGCAACTCCTTCACATAATTCTCATCCGAGAAGCCTCCGATCTCTGCCAGTCGACGCTGCAAAAGACAAGTCTTCTTATCAAAGTTGCTGCAGCTCTTTAACTCCAGGTTGTCCTTCATCCCAGAATTCCTCTGTAACTCCATCAATTTTGATGCTAAATCTTCAATTTCCTCCTCTAATACTGCACCAACATTCGCCCCTTCGAATATTTTCTTCCTTCCCTAAAATTTTACACAGAACAGGATACACGATTGAAATGACCATAATCAATTCAAGAAAAAAAAAATGACATAATCATTATTCAAAACTCAAAAAGTAAATCCTAACTCTAATTTCTAATACAGAACCTGGAAAAACATTTTCATTACCCTTAACACATTCCTTTTAAAACAAAGGCTATCCTTTATTCCTTTATACCCAATCGTGACCATTATACCCTGGCAATCTGGAAATCATCATTCTATTTCCCTTTTATGAACAAAATATTACATTATACTGACCAATAACGAGATTAATTAAATACTTGAAACAGAGAAAATGAATTTTTTTTTCAGTGTTCATAAGAACGTATCTGCAACTGCGAATATAGAGAAACCCACAGAAATTTTGTGGTTTTGCAGAGTCTTAATCCAAAGATTGAAGCATTGAAATACTCACAGAAATTAGAGTTTGAATGGTTGATTTAAGAATCCTCTCCATTTTAACTTTGTCCCTCCCTAACTTCTTCAAAGCAACCTCCCTTTCCAACCTCAAAAAGTTACACTCAGCCCTCAAAATCTCAGCTTGAAACTTCCACTTCTCTTCTGCAAACTCCTCTTCTTCTTTCTCCACTCTGTCTCTCCTCCCAGTGGACAACGACGAAGAAGACGCCGAAGCAGAGGAATTTAACAGAACAATCGGCACATCAGCACCATCTGTTCTCGAAAACTCCCTCTCTTCACCGAATAACCTCTCCAGTTTGCCTTTCCTTGTCTCATAATAGTAGTAATTAAAGTTACTCTGGTTCACACCCAATAAAGGGTTGGTGGAGGTTGAAGAAGACGGTTTCCCGGCGGCCTTTTTGAGGTATTTCCGGTGGCGAATCCTTCTGGGTAAGTTGAGAATTTTGGGGCTTGGTGGTGGAGGTTGAATTGGGTGCCATTTGGGTCTTCTTCTTGCTACTGGTGTAGCAGTTGACGACATTCTCTGCTTCCGTGCTCTGCAATTTTTTTCTGTGGTCAAGAAGAAGAGGGTGATGATGTTCTTTTCATTGGAATGGAGGGGTTTTTTTTTTGTTTTTATTTAAGAAGGCAAAATATATTTTGAAACTTAACGGTAGAGAGAATGGGAAACATTATTTGAAAAACGTTGGACTTTGTGACTTGTGAAGGAGTAATTAAGGTTATTTGTCATTTTCCTGTCTTAAAAAGTGCAGTAGTTGTTAAAAACGGGAAAATTTCCATTAGGGATAGTGGGGGTTTTTTTTTTCTTTATTTGTTTAATAAAATGTTCAAATGGATTAAGTTTACAAAATTCAATAACCAATTAATAAATGTAAATTCTTTTTTCTAACATACATTTTTTCAGTATAAAAGAACTGTCACGTTTATTGAAACCAAAATACGTACCTCTCCTCAAATTCATTCTTCTTAATTTACACACAGACAAAGCTATTTAGAAATACTTTCCCACTTTCCTAGCTAGTTCTCTTTCTCATTTTCCTAGCTAACCCACATTTCAATTACATCTTCTGATTAAGAAAAAAATGGAAAGTATTTGAACAAATGTTCAATATTTATATCATTCCATTTATTTCATACTAACACTTTATATTTGATAATAAGAATATCAGTGACTACAGCGTTGAGATGAATTAAGGGTTTCAACCTTTAAACTGAATAGCCGAAAAAAGCCTAAATTCTTCTTATTTGGAGAACAGTTTTCATGAAAAGTTTGCATCTAATTGTTAGTCGAAATTAAGAAAGCCATTTCTACATCTGCAAGCTAACTTAGATTATCTTGGTCTGTTTTGAAACTTTTCATGGAGACGGTGCTCAAGTTGGGAAACAAGGGAGAGAGAGAGAGAGAGAGAGAGAGAGAGAGAGAGAATCAAAAAAGGGTTGAAGCATCGAAAATTGAAAAGAACAAGGATTTTTTAGTCTCTGGAAGGATGGACTTGTTCTACTTCTATGCTCTCTTTTTTTTCCGCCATGTTTTCTTGGTATTTTTAATACTTATACTGCTGTACTGTTTAAGTGCATAAAGCTCTGTTTTCCATGGTTTGAGAGAATCTTGCTTGATTTTGTGAGTTAATTACTTAAGGCACAACTGTCTCTTTGCTTTGACAATAGTGCTGCTCCCTGCTGCCTTGAAATCCCACCAGATTTTCAAAACCATGATTATTTTACAAAACACTGTTACTATCTACTTTAATAAATAGTACTTTCTCAACATCTACAAAGCGGGACATTGTTGATAAATAATTTTTTAAGTTACCACTACTTCCTATTTCAAGGATTTATCAGGAGTCTAATGGGATTTAGTTCTCGTTCATAATTAAATATGTTCTCCATTCCAGTTCCATAGCAATATTTAGATATACATTGAGATTAAGAAATTATGGATGAATTTTAATAAATAGTGAGGGAGATATACTCCAGTAAACTCAATTTAGGAGTATTTGAAATAAAACTAAATTTTAAAATTCCAAAAAAGGAAAATATCATATTGAATTTGAACGGAGGACGGAATTAATTACAGTTAATCTAAGGAAATATAACTAAGTTCTTTTCCAAAAAAAAAAAAGAGGAAATATAACTAAGCAATAAATGGTATGTGTATGATTTTTGCATGATTTCAACCCTAACAAGTTACTAAATTACAAAAGGTAGGTCTATGACTATTAGATTGGAGGTCTACAGTGAAAATATTTTATGGAAAATTCGTAATAGTTAATTATCTATCTTTTTGAAATGAAGGGATACGGATACTCATCACGTGTTATTTCCTTATGTTATGTGAGATGAATATTATCCTTTATAATAGAGATTATTTCATGTTTTGAACTTATATTCAAGTAGCTAGTAATATCTTAGCTCATGTTTCTGTAATCAAATTAAGACCTAAATAGTTTATTTTCATGATTTCCAACTCAGCTAGTAAATTCAAGAGAAGATGAAATCTGAATTTGGCAATATAAAGGGAAAAAAGGAAGGGATTTGGTCAAATATAGTCGTGACTAGCTTTCGCAAGCAATACGTTAGTTTTTATTTTATGTAATATATTCTTAATGACAGTATTTGCATACTTTGCGGGTATTAAATAATGGGAACAGCAACTAAAAAGTTTTTCTTTTTTGGGTCTTAACTAAGTTGACATGAAAATAAAGCTAAAAGATTATGGATATGCTTCTTTTTTTTTTTTTTTTTTTCCTTTGAAGGATATTAAATAATTATCTACTTTCAAAAGACACAAAAGTAAGATGAAAAAACAACGGAAGCGCAGATGCATTTGACCACTACTAGCTAAAACTTAGATAAAAATTTTTATACGATCAAGTCAAGTCTCTTTTTCCTTTTCATTCTGGGAAGAAAAGGATTTTATCGAAATCGTTGAATGTTATTAATTTTTAATTAAAATAGAATTTTAAAAACAATTCATAATTTAAAGTTTGTATTCCTCTGTCTCATAATATCAGAAGGGATTGTGCATATAATTAATTAAAAAATATTTTTTTAGAGATTTTTGTTTCTTATTAAATTTTAGATATATAATAGCGAAAGAAAATATGAAAAAGGAGAAAGATGATATTACCTTCGATCTAAAAACACATCACGTTCATTGTGTTTGTAGTAGTGTTTTAATTTAACAGAGTAGATTTTGTTTGAAATGGAAGGTTTATAAATTAAAGAAACTCTAATTGAAAAGACCATTTAACTTGTATCTCATTAATAAAGCAAATAATTGTGCTAGAATAAAGGAGAAGAGCGAGCCAATGCCCAAGAAAAGAAAAAACACACGCAGTCACACACAACGAGATGCTTTGTGTTATTGGATTTATGGTGATGTTGGATGTCTCGCATGAATACAATTCATTTCTTTACCTTTTTCTTACGGACGACCAGTGCCGTTTTCTTTCAACTGTATTCAATAAATTCGTTAATCGTCCGTGCCGTTCAAGGTGTTCCTGGTATCTATTTATTGTTCTGTTTTTTGTTTTTTTTTTTCTTTTTCTGGTTTCTTTTTAAAATTTTGATAGGAGCGGTACTAAGAAAATTAAAGGTGAAGGATTGATATATTATTTCCCTTCCCTTATTTTTTCCTTTAAGTAGCATTTTTCCAACTTCTTTTACTCAACTGTCAACCATGTCTTAAAATTATTGTGTGTATTATTATTATATATAATAGTATCAGATATTTAAATTAATTCTTACACGATTAAGATTTTTTTTTCAAAAAAATAAGAAGAAAGTACTATCTATCATACGTAAAAACCCACAAAATAATTGATGAATATATTTAACAACTCCAAAGAATTTCAAGTTTTCAACCAGTGTTATTCCATATGCATGCCAATTAGTCAAATGAAATTCACGGTAACGTGGTACGTTTATTACATTATCTTTGGCTCAGTATCTCGTAGTGTTTCTTCGAACGAGTAGTTTACATACTTTCACACATGACGTGCATGAAAATAAAAATAATTCCTTATTCAAAAAATAAATGTGGTACTATTTCATTTTTACCATATAGTGTAACTCGTTCTATCAATTTTATTCTATAAACTGAGCTACATTCACTTCTCAAAAGTCAGCCTCTATTTAGGATCGACGTTACTTACATCTATTTGACTCTTTTATCGGTTTTCACGTCCACTTTGTGATGACAATATTCACTGCGTATCAAAAATTCAGAAGAAAGTACAGAACTCTTCAAAGTAACCAGTGCTAAAGGCAATACTTCCCATTTATTGTTCATGGCTTTATGCATGCAGAATCTGCAGTTGTAATGAAGTTTTTTTTTATTGTCCTTATCCCGTTTGAAAGTGAAACGTATTAACTTTCTGCCTTAGGGCTTAGGGTGGTCCATTCCCAAGGTAAAAGAGCCCCAAGTAAAATTGAAGGCTTAGTTCTTTATATTTTTATTTTCTATTTTAACGAGAAAAAAAAATTTAACAGAAGGAATAGTATTATTTTAATTATAAAAAAAAGTCGATTTATATTATTTCTTCAAACGGTACAAATTTTACAAGCGTGTAAACTGACCTTCTTTGACATTTACATTGCAAAGCATATGCAAAATTCAAAATTTCAACATGGATTAAAATTTATAGAACTGCAGTTCTGAACGCACTGTTGAAATCGCTAAAGTCAAAATGTGGATGGATGCTCAAGTACAAAGGGCTAACTGTTGAAGATCGAAGGACCCTTTTGTCCCACATTCTGGAATAATATACTATATGATTTTTTTTCTCCCTTACAAATAGTTTACTTTAGTGCTGAATATCATGTATGAATAAAAGGTATGAACTTCACACCTAATGTTTTGGAATGTAGCTGAGGGAAACCTAGTGGAAGCAGAATATCCTTATCATCAAAATCACAAAACAAAAAAAAATAATAATAATAACATTATACACTAGCCTTTTTGCGTCGTCATCGACTTCAATAAAGATTTAATTACATGAATCTCAACATACCAGAAGGAAGGACAAAGTGTTGTATGAACTCGATGTGATAGTGAAATTGCAAGTCTTAGAAGGCGAAATAGTTCTAGTTAATTAAGAAGGAGGTATGTTATGGTTCTTAATTTAGCATATATTATCAAACTCTTGTGTGATGTTATGTTTAATAAAGGTTTATGAAATATACTTCTTTTTTTCCAGGAAAAAAAATATACTATGAACCTAGTACTAGTTTGTTTACTCGTTACTATCCGCTCAGTGACAGTAAGTTTAGTAAAAGAGAATAAACAAAAATAATGTTATCTCAATCATTTTAACTTTAATTTTTTAATATTATATTATATGAAGACATTATTAGACTTTAGTGAATGTACTATCTTTTATATAAAATAAAAAAGGTAATTTAAACATCTCCAAGATTAATTAAAAATCGATAAATCATGGATTCAAAACCTTTATGACATCGTAATTTAATTATAATTTAATAGCACACAGTGGATCATATAGACACTGAAGATCAGTGAAGGCACTATTGAATGTGAGCCATGTCTTCTGACAGAAAAAATTCTTGCATGTTTGTCTAAAAGCGCAATGAACTGACACACCATTTTGAATTCTTTTGACTTGTGGGATT